TATAAAAGAAGTAAATTTATTAATTTTTTTATGTTTAATACTTTACCCTGGTATGTGTGGAATTGCGTATTTTTTTCTTTTAGTACGCTAATGATTGTTAGATATTTTTCTAAGGTTGACAGTTGGATTATAATTTTGTTTTGTCCCATTACTTTTAGTGTGGAACTATCTTTTGCTATAGTTTTTTAATAGTTTTTCTAACGGACGAATATCCGCTACGTTGTGGACAAAATCAGAAAAGATTTGTTTTTCAACGTATTTGCCTCATTGTCCACATTATTTTCGTCCTCACTTTGATTTTATTTTTTATCTTGCAGTATCTCATACTTAATTCTTAATTTGCAATTCGGTAATTGGGCTTGTCGGTTTTTGTTTAAATTTTCATCGTCTGAGTTGTTTCGCGGACTTTCGCAGCTTGTAATTTTCCAGTTTTCTTCGTTGTTTTTATCAGGAGTAGACGTGTCTTCTATCAGAGTGACCATTTTCGCCGTTATTACCTTTTTATTACTTGTTTGGAGAATAATAGAAACTAAACTGTCACTTCACTTAATTGGTTAATACTTTTTCATTTCCGGTAAAGCACAGTATTGGCACGTCTGTTCACCTCGATAATCAACCGCTGGACATGTTTTTGTAACTGTAACAATAACAAAACAACTATACTTTCGTAATAGCATAATCTTAAACTAAGAAAATGGTGTCCATCATGGGAGTGATCAATCCACATCATCATACAAAAAAGTTTCTTTTAATCCAGCTAAAAAAAGTTTAGTTAGAAAACTTCTGTAAGAACTAGAAAAAAGTTCAGCTAACTGAAATTTTTCTAGTTCTTACAGCTAAAATATATTTTCTCTAGTTCTTACATTGTTCTTTTTTTTCCACGTAAATTGCTAATGGGAGTCCCTATCTTTGCGATTTATGTTAAATTTCAAGATCTTGAGGTACATTAGAATAATCGACGAGTTATTTATTCATAAATATTTTATTTTTCTTCGCGGGCAAAAAATCATCAACTACATCGTGCTAATCTTCGAAGAATATTATAAAATTTTTTCTTTCATTCATTTGCGATTCTACAATACCAATAGTTTGCTATTGTTCATAGTTATTCATGCGATTGGTTTCAAATGTCACCTCGCCTTAAAAGACTAATCAGACTAATGACACTAAGAATTAGCCGACCCTAGGAATTGCTCGGAAGTATAAAGTGTTCATTTTATGCATTGCGACTTGTGCTGCATTAAGTCCATATTATTTTCATCATGACTCAATAGTTTTGTTCTCGAGTGACATTATTTAGAAAATGTTATAGATATTGTATCAAATATCATAGATAATATATAAAATGTTATTGTACACTATTGTGTACAATACTCGCAGATCGTCGTTAATCAAATATAGAAAGTCAATGTGAGAATAAAAGTACTGAATAAATAAAAGTATTTTGCATGCACAGTTACTAATTTTATATATTGTCTCTCATATCGCCACTTTGCATTTAATAAAGGAAGAAATTGGCAAATCATTCGGAGCATGACAGCATTTCACGTTTAACACAACAGACAAGTTTTTTCAGAAACGAAAAATTTTAACATAAATAAGGTTGGGAAGTCTGCCTTACTTCCATTTTAAAGGTGATAATCAATATTCCGTTGCTTTTGTCTGCCAAATCAACTCTATTATACAATTAAATGGATATGCACTTGGAAGTTGACACTAAGGTACCGGATATTAGTAATTGACACACATACACGTCTTCAATTATAAATTAGTTGCTTGAATGTTTTAGTATCTTAATCAACATTTCGTTTCAATCTATTTAACACTGAATTTCGTTTTTTTTTAATGAATATATAATTAGCAAAAGTTCCTTTCCTACCCTTGAATTACACAAGGCATGTAAATTATTTTGCTGAATAAAACGTTATATCTCAGTGAGCTACGCATTTACAATTTTATTTTTTAATTAAATCATAAAAAATATTATTATTTTAGATACTCAAACAACACTGTCCTGCTCATTTCATAACTTACCGTCGACGTAGAGAAAATGGACCTACAAGCAAAGTAATTAAAAAAAGTGTGGGAAGAGAAAGCGGCGTCAAAACGACGGCATATAAGGCATAACTCGAGTCTCCGTAACACATCGACAGTCTTTCCGAAAAAGAAAGCGATCGTTCTCGCACACCCGCTTCCCCGGAATACACATCCGACATATATATCCCCTCCCTTCTCTGGCAGCTTAATCTCTCCGGTTGCGCGCGTATAGGAAGATGCGAGTTGCGTTTAACGCGCATTCATTTGCGCGTCCGGTCGCTCATTCGTGTCTTTCTCTTTAACACTCTCCTTGCATCCTTGCAGACATGCAGACGGCTACGACGCAAGGGGACAGGTAGTATGGTGGTGCGCGCTCTCTCGGTGTGTTGGCCCTCGTAAAATGGAAATCAATTACATCTGCACTTAACCACTTAAACTGGTTTCGCCACGAAGAGAGAGGGAGGGAGAGAGTCTCACGCGTCCGCTCTCTGCGGCTCGCCGCAGATCATTCGTATCAACATAATTACAAGCTCGGAAGCCGCCTCTCTTTCTCTCTCTCTCTCTCTCTCTCTCTCTCTCTCTCCCGCTCCACCCATCACAACATCTCGCGCAGAGCCGATCGGTCGCCGACAATCTCGTCGCCGCTTGCTCACGAGCACGCGCGAGCAGCCTTAACTCTTGCGCTGCACTGAGAGAATCGAATCGACACCAAGACCCTATTCGCTAAAAACCTCTTTGAACCGTGCCGCCCGCTCTCGCCTCCACTTCTCTCTCATGACCGATGTGTGGTGGAGCTCCACGTCCACAAAATCGGCGGAAGGATGCGCGCTTTTGTTTTGAATGCGGGTGCTGCGCGTAATGCACCTCGGGTTGGGTTGGGTTCGGGTTTGCACACTTCTTACATTCGACTGTTCGACTGGGAACTACCTGCAACTGCAATATCCATTTTCGACTTTTGTACACGAGCAATGATTGTTGGCACGCTTTCGGTGAGGAGGGATTATGGCTGTCCGATTGTTTCCCCGTTCATCGATTGCCAATTCTCCAACTTTAGCACTTTTTTAAGCTTTGTTAATCACCGTTAAACTTGTAATGTAGGAGGCAACGTTGAAGAAAGAGGCACTCAAAAACCACTTGGATACCCTCGCAGGCAATTCGACCAAATTATTGAAATATATGCAAAACTCGTCAGCATTATAACGCCTCTGGCAGTATTATCGAAAGCGCTAATTCTTCCTTTCGCATTCTGCGATACATAATTAAATTAGCAGACAGGCAAATCTGCTGTTGACGACTCGTCGCGACCATTAAAAGGAAAGGAGTCTCGCGAACAACGGGGAAATAAGAAAAGCAGGGAATCCCGCGAAGTGCTGCTTTGGCGCATTATCTAAATTGACTCTCGTCGAGCGGAAACGAGAAAGAGAGGGATTTATTTCGATGCGTTCGGCTGTCGGCGCGAGACGCCCGTCATCGAGAGCGCAGCCGAGCGTGAACCTTTGGCCCCCGAGATTAGCCTTCGCGCGCAGCAAAATAAAAGTGAGACGCGCGTGCAAGCGCTGGGATAAAAATATCGCTTTCCACCGTGTGGAGCTTTGCATAATCGTGCGGGCGCGCGACGAGGCGAAAACTCGTGTATTCCTCGCGGCTTTTGTGCGGCGAGCGCGCGCGCGCGCGTAGCTTTCGGGCGCGACCTTTTTAATTTATCGCTGCATAAATTCGCTCTCTTTATCGTGCGCGCAAGACGCGCCGTTTTTCGGGAGACGAGCGAGGCCTACTTAGCCTCCTCGGAGCACAGGAAATCGTGGCATAATTTACACGCGTACTAAATTTAATTTTTGCAAAATGCCCATTGGGTTAATAATATCGGGAGCGACTTTGCCGCGCGCGGCTCGCCCTCTGCTTCATCAACGTTTTCACGTATTTTTTCAATTTCCATTTATATAGCGACACTATCGTTAAAAGCAAATTAATTTCAAAAAAACCTTACTCGATTACCAATTATCCATCTCTTTAGTCTAAATAATTTTCTCAAAGCATTACGTCTGCTACTTCTCCAGCAAAGTACGTCCATCTCTTACTAGCGCCGAGTGTCATCTCATCAACGTCCAAATGTAAAACACGTATGTATATGTTGTACGTACGCTCTAGCGGCGCCTCAGGTAGACACTCTTGAAAAAGACTTTGATGATTCGCGGTAGGTTTCACCGACGTCGCGTGTAGTGCGCAGGCCGCGCGTGATCGTCTTTCAATTTCGCTCGCGGCGAGGAAGCCTGCGAGTTTGGAGTCGGGCATCCCCGAGCGAGAGAACTGCAGCCCGAAATAATTGCTCGCTGACAAGGTGTGAAATGAATTTATTCAATTTCGAGAGAGCCGAGCCGCTCACACGTGGAATTACACGGCACTTGCTGCCGTGGCTGCTGCGCAGCTTCGACTTGAGAGTAATTAAAGAAATTTTTCATGGTCCATTTCACTCTTCCGCCACGCCGAATGAGCTGCTCCGCTTAACCTTCTCTCTCGCTTTATTGTTTTCGCCTTCGCATATCTCTCTTTCTCTTCTTTACGTTTTTAGCTTTTATTTTGGAGGGCCTCCGAACCTTCGTTTACCCCTCGCTTTCTGTGCTTCCAGGGATACTTTAATTTTTTTTTTGAATCTGCAAGTTGATGACGAGCCTTTCTCAAGGGTTTCTTGAATTTTAGCTTAGAGTAATTTTCTTGGCTGATTGCATTATTGAACGCTTTTTCTTTTTTTGGTTTGCATACGCTATAATTATTTAAAATAAAAATTGATGTCACATTATCTCTTTTCCAAAATTTCGAATAAAACGAAGAATTACAAGAATTTTTCATTAAAAAACAGCGGGGAATAGGAAAGCAGGAAATGGTGACAATAAGTAATAAAAGATGGAAATGACGAACGGAAAAGTAATAAAAGATGGAAAATTCGATAAAATCCATTTATTTATCCCTGACGCTACACGCAGAGTTGAATGATTTTCCATAAAATCTACACGTGACGACAGACGAAGTATCGCCTTTGATTTATATACAAATTTGAAAGCCTCCCTTTCTCTCTCAATCATACACATCGCATTCTCACTAACGCGCTCACGAAATCGTTCGGAGATTGGCGCAATATAATAATAATACTATGACGGTATGGTACAGCTATCACAACTCATCATCTGGTTTGTTGGTTTGTTTGTCTTATCTCATTAAAGTTAAAATCATCGTTTTCGTTAGCCTAAAGATACATAAACATTATTTCCCCCTCGCTTTCTTCTTACTCACGCACATCGATAATTAATCAACTATATATTACACAACGACGACGAGCTAACAACTAAGATCCATTGGGCGTGTGGTACATTATTTACAAATAATAATAGTAAGGGATAACGAAAAAGAGAAGAGTGTCGAAGCAGCAGCAGAAGCCTGGCCCCGGCAGCGTACATCGGATCTTTGGCTTATCGGTGTGTGTAGGAAAGACGCCGGCGGCGCATCTAGTCGAGTCGCGGACTCTCGCTGTGCGGCCGACTGGGATAGGGCACGAATCGTTGAGGCGGCGAGGAGCGGGGCAACGGTTGCCAGGGCCACGGGTAGGGGTGGCCGGCACCGCCGCCAGATGGCGAGCCGGTCGTGCTGGTCGCGGTGACGGACACCGCGGCTGGGAGGGCGCCTCTCGCCGCGTACAGCAGAGCCGCCGACGGCCAGGGCTGCTGCTGCTGCTGCTGCTGCTGCTGCGGGTGGCCCGGGTGGGCGGCCGCCGCCGCCGCCGCTGCCGCCGCCGCCGCGGCCGCGGCCTGCTGCGGGTGGAGGCCGAGGTGCTCGTACAGGCGCACCGCCGGCACACCGCAGCGCACCAGCTGCTGCTCCATCAGCTCCATCGGGTCCCTGCAACGGCAATAATGGCGCGCTGGGCGTTAGTCGGAGGCGCGCAAGGAGAGCGAGCGGTTCGCGAAGGCCTGCCGCTCGTTAGAGCGCTAATTGAGAGCCCGAGCGCTACCATATTTTACGAGTTGAAATTGCTCCCGTCGCTGCTGATCCAGCGCCTGGCTAGCTCTCGATAGAGCCGAGCGTTTTTCAAACGTCGCAGCGTTCACAATGGCCAGGAGCTCCGATAACGCCTTGCGTTATGTACCTGCGCTTCTAACCGAATCGCGCTGAGTCGTGAAACTGCGCGCGGCTCCATTAACGGGCGCCAAGGAAAGAAACGAAGGCGCGTATTTGACTTTTGAATAGCCTCGAGAGCTCTAACAGGCGTATCTAACTGGAATTAGATTGATTGATGTGCGTTTTTACGCGAGGGACCACGTCAAAAGTCCCCCTCCCCTCCCAGCGCGCCTCATTCTCCGGCATTAATCATTTTTTACGATTTCCTGCATCGAGCTTTCTCGATTTCCTCTCTCTCTCTCTCGCTCATTCTCGGCTTTTATCGGCGATTAATCACCGGCTTGCTCGTGGTCGCGATCGAATATTTCAGACTGTTTTTTGCCATTGCGGAGCACCCGCGCGCGCGCACGCACACACACTTGACGACCACACACGATCACGACGAAAGCCATACTTCTCGAGTGCGCGCATGCTTTGGCTTCCGATGATGAGACTGTTTCGCGGAAAAGCGCTAGAGCGGCGATTTGCGAAACCAGGTCGCCTATTCATAAAGTCAAGAGCGAAAAAAAGAGATATTCATGGAATACGCGTACTCGAGCCGCGCGTCAAGAGACGCCAGCGTGGAGCGCTGACGCTCATGAAAAGCTTGTTTTCGGCGGCTCTGGATACGCGGCCACGTCACGCGATACGTGACACGGGAGAACGCGCTCGCGAGCTAATTGGCGTGTTATCGCTCTGAGCGCCCATCTTTCTCTCACTCTCTCTCTCTCTCTCTCGGCCGCGGCGTGCACGTTATAGCCGCGGGACCTGCAACTGACTCTCTTCCGCGTCCTTTCTTTCTTTCTTTCTCTCCCGCTCTCGCCGCGGCCTGAAAATCCAAGAGAATCCCGGCAATTCTGTTTCCGCGCGAGACGGAAACGCGCCGAGGAGCAGTCCACGTCTCGGTGCACGAGAGATTGACGCGACTTTGCGCGGTAGCAAGCTTGCGAATCCCATTGTCGACGACGACGTGCGTCGGTTGCATCGGAGAGGAAAAGGTGGCGAAACTCGCGATTACGTTCAATTACGCGGGCCTGAACCAGGCGGGCGCACGCATGCTGCTCTCTTTTAAGCAGCTTTCATCAGCTCCACCCATGAGCGGTCTCTCGCTGCGCGCGGCGCGCCACCTCGCTCGAAATTGCTTCATCGTGAATGGGAACGCTCGCGCGCCAAATTAGCCGAATTAAATTACCGTATATATACGTATATACATGCGGGTTGCGTGCGTGCACGCGCTGCACCTGTGAGATACAGCTCCGGAAATGACGAAGCGCCCTTGGTGAAAGTCGACGGTAACTGGTATCAGCCGCGGAGGAAAACAGTCCGGCTTCTCGGATAGACGCGCACTGCAATTTGTTGCGCAGGGATGCATTATCGGTAATCGCGAGGCTGCTCGCGCGCCGCGCCGCGCACCAGATATCTTGCGCGCGCGAGTTTTCCCCTCGCCGCGACAACAAAATCGCCGGCTAATCTTGCGCACGCGCGCGTACGCGCACGTCTCACGCGATCGCCGCACGTCGCTGCGCGGCTCCAAACATTTTCACCATGGGCACTCGTCTGCTCTCCTCTAGCCTCCACGCGAGGATGGACGGCGCACGCGCCAGAGGGAAAATATCACGGCTGCGCGCGCCCAACTCAATTGAACGTCGCTCACGCGATTCCGCAGCGCGGCGGTTGTCGCCGTTCCTCGTGCGCTGCGTTCGATACCGCCTCGTCTATTTAATCCTCGCTAACGAAAAATCCGCGTCGCATGACCCGGTTGCATGCCAAACTCGCTAAGGGAGGCTAAGTGCCCTAATGACATGTCTGCTATGCTGCAAAAGACTTTCTTTTCAGCCGACGGGAAAATAAAAGCCTAAGCGCGCCGCGTGCGACAGCAGCTGATTTAATGGCCGGCACGCAGCGGTAACACCTGAGATTCGTGTCGCACACGCGCGTACAGTGGTCGAACGGAATCCCTGTCGGTATCGAACGAATTTCGCGCACGCAGTAAACAGCCGCTCGTCGATGTTTGCGCGCGCGTGTGTGTGCCACGACGACCACGACGATAAACGCGAAATTGGGCAGCTTCGTGAAAAGATGCGGTGCCTAAGTAGTCACGCGATCGCGGCACCTTTAACCATCAACGCTCGTTTCCTTTTTTTCCTTTTTTCTTTTTTCAGCTTGACAACAAATAACCGCACGTGCGAGTGTATGCGATGATCGATGCGTTCAAAGTCCACGCCCCGAAGAATTTCGGATTTATGAACCGGCAATTAATAGAAAATAGCGTGCGATTCCGCTGGAGGCGATAGGTAAGTGGCAGATAATGATAAGTTGCAGCGTAGAGCCTTCTTACACCCTTCGGCAGCTCCTCCTTCTCCTCGGCAATTTCTTTTTCTTTCACCCTGCTTCGACTGCTCATTTTTTTCTGTTTCCGGAGAGCGAATCGAATTGAATCGAGACAATGATTTTAATAGCCTTAGCAAGAAACGTTTTCCGCGGTAATGCGGCGAGAACGACATGCGTGAAGAGGCCGCGTATGCTTTGTCGGCTGTGCAATCGTAATGGAGATGAGGATGATGAATATCATCAGGCGATATGCAGCTTCAGCGCTGGCGAAGGAATGTTCCCGTTGCCGCTCGGCGCAGCACGCGAGAGAGAATTTGTGAATGGGTTCCGCGAAGGCGTCCGCACCGGCGATTTCCTCATCACGCGATCGCCGCGAAAAACGTTTTCCAATTGGCAAGGTCGCTAAGCCTGGCGGCGGTGGCGGCGGCGGCGGCGACGGCGGTCAACAGCAGGAGAAGGTTGGAAAAAGTGTGCTACGCGCTTTATGCGATGCAATCCTTTTTTTTCCGTTCGAGCCGAGCCGAGAGCCGACAAAGGCACGGGTTATTGTTTCCTCTTTGAGAGCTAAAGTGCGTATTAAACGCGCGTAAGTGAGAGAGTGTTGGCATTTTTCTGGAGTGCGGCTGTTAAGAACGGAGCGCGGCGCAGATATGTATACAGGCCTTATCTTATTATTTTTAAAAGCCGCGCTATAGATGGAAAAGGCTTTGAACATTATTGAAACTATGCCTGGCAGAGGAGTTATTTCAATAAGTACTGATAATTATCTACGCCTGTAACGAGTTGCGCGCGGCAGCTTTAAAATAAATTGCAAGTTAAATTCTGCTCTGGAATTTGCAAGATTTATTGCAATCTCGAGTATCGATTCGCTCACGTGCACGTGCCAAATGGCATCGGTCGTCGGGCGAATAGTCCCACACCAAGCTCTCATTGCGAATAAAGGACGAATATTCCACCAATTCGCTGGAAAAATAATCGGTGACTGTAATTGCAAAAATCAACCAGCAAAGTCCCAGCGACAAAAGAGTCAGTGGACGGAGCGGAGATCGAAAGCCCATAAAGCCGATTAAGTGAGCAGCTTGAAAAGTCATAAAAACAAAAAGAGCAGATATAAAGACGCGTCGACTGAAAGTCAGCGCGAAAAAACGAGTATACGCACACATACGAAGAAGAGAGATAAGAGGTGAGAGAGAGAGGAAGCGAGCGAGAGAGAGAGAGAGAGAGAGAGAGAGAGAGAGAGAGAGAGTTGGAGTGTAACGCACAGCGAAAGAAATTAATAGCCATAAAATATGAATAGAAATTAGCAGGTTCGGGGTGGCGTGACGCGCGCGTTTGCTCGCTCATTTCCTTTCGGCACGGCGCGTTGAAAAACAACAAAACAACGAAAATATCCTTTCGACCGAGTCGCTCCTCTCTCTCTCTCTCTCTCTCTCTCTGCAAGCCTGTAATTTTGCGCGGCTGCCGACCAATCCCCACTACGACTCGTCTTCCTCCGTGTATGCTCCTTTTGTCTTTCGCGTATGTGCAACTCGCATGTACACACGTTTATGCGCGTGCGCGCAATTTGTCGATTGACTTTCTTCTTTTCCTTTCGGGAAAGCGCGCACGACTCTCGGCTGCTTCGTTTTTAAGGGACTAAATGACGGCTTATTATTACAGCCGTGAGCTGCGCAAGCTCTTCGGAGATTGAAGAGCCAACCGACAAAAAGAGAGAGAGAGAGAGAGAGAGAGAGAGAAAGCAATTGAGAAATTATGCATTTACGTCGGGTGAGCGATGTAATTTCCACGAAGAGCGAGAATATTGGCAGACGATTTTATCTGGAGCTTCAACGGTATATCGGTTAATTGAAAGTGATTGAGAATGGTCGGGCAGGGTTAGTCGAGCATTACAATTGAATTTCAAAGAGGAGGAAGACTTATAACGCGACGCATCGCGTAAATGAGTGTCTTGGAATCGTAATGAGCGATAAAACAACTACAAAGCTTCGCGCGTAGCTGGAAAACTCAAAGGCCGCGAATGAGAAATCATGCATAATCCAATGGATGGTTATATTCACGGATAGGATTGTTCGCAGAAGGAAAGGGGGTCGTTAAATTTAACATGTCAATCGCGGGCATTGCACAGCGCACAGAGAGAGAAAGAGAGAGAGAGAGAGAGAGTTTTGGGAAAAAAGACGGAAGCTGCTGCGAGGTGTTATATATACGCTGGCAGGCTTACGAAACGAAAAGGAGAAGAGCGACAACGAAGAGGAGGACGACGACGAGTTTCGAGGCGGCGACGGCGGCGGCAGCAGCAGCGGTGGCAGCAGCAGCAGCAGCAGCAGCAGCAGCGCGAAGAAGAGGATAAGTGCCTTATATATAAGGGGAAGGGAGAGAGAAGGTGCGGCGGCAACCGGGTATAATGACAGGCCAGTGTGCGAAGCTCTCGAAGCTAATATAGATGAATGCCTCGCTCTCTTGTTCTTGTTTTTGGTCGGTGGAGGCCTCGGGCGGCACGCAGAGCAGTTGGCGAAAAAGAGCGCGAGAAAAAAAGAAGGAGCGGGCGAGCGAGCCAAGGAGAGAGAAAGAAAGAGAGAGAGAGAGAGAGAGAACGCGCATCTATCTATCAGCGCCGGCGCGAAGTGGGCGTGATGCAAACGCCAAACGCCGCTCTCTCATTAAGCTCGCACCGCCGCGAGAGGTGCAGAAAGTGCGCGCGCGCATTAGCGACGTGTGGCCCCCCCTCCGACGCTGCTCACACGTATGCGCGTACACACAGCCATTACCTGCCGTGGCTCTAATGCGCTCGATAATTTGGACGCGCGCGGCCGAGACTCGCTCCTCTTTTTTTGCGACGGTCTCGCCCGACTTTCTTGCCGAGGCCCGCAAACGTTTCGCGCTTTGACACGGCTTAATCTGCGCCCCTTGCTCTTTTGATTGCTGCCGAGCCTGCCAGTTTACCTGTATCTTCCCCCTTCGCTGGCTCGCCCCGCATTGTTTATGGGATTATGCCAATCGACTGAGTTTCCTTAGCGAGCTTTACTTGCGTCGGATCTTTATTATTTTTAGAGAACCGCTTTTTAAATTTCATTTCGCGGCGCGGCTCAATAAATCAAAATCTTTTTCCGGCTCAGACGATTTTTATCAGCGTCGATTGCAATCAAAATGAAAATACATCGCGTGATTACACCGTAGGAGGCATGTCGCAACTTTCAAATTTTCGAGGAAAAATTGGTGTTGCGAGAGAGCGTCGGCCCCAAATAAAAAGGCAAAAGGGAACTCTATTACGATTTTAACAAGTAGATTAATGGTATCGGAGCAGGTAAGAATTAAGCCTCATTGAATAATTGCCACGTATAGGAGAACGCTAAATTCACTGTTTACTCGCAGTAGCCTTAAGCATATTCATGCTTCGATAGGATCTCTTGCCTACTCTCTCCAGTCTCGTGTGTAAACGTCCACATCGACGCGAGGAATGACAAATTATGCGCTCGCACGAGACGCTATCTCGACTCTATATGTACATACACACCAAAGCTCTTTCCCTTAAGTGAAAAGTCGACACACATACACAGCTGAGTGGAGCCACGATGACTCGGCAAGAATGCTCTTACCCTCGCTCGCGCGCTCGCAGGAGGCAGGTGTTGATTTGAGGTTTGTCCCGCGCGCAGCTACGCGCAGACGTCTATATACGCTCGACACGTCGAAAAGTCCTCTTGGAGACTTTTGAATGATTGACGCGAGCGCTCGCTCGCCAAATTAATTTCCCCGCGAAAGCGCGAAAGACGATATCGCCGAGGGGGAGATGGAATAGCATCGCGTAAGACCGAAAATTTCTCCGCTATTGATTATGCCGTCAGCCTTGGCTGCACGCGAAGGAAACTCTGCCGGCAAAGTGAGATATATCCGTCGCGTGTGTGCACGCTCGCCGCGAGAAAGCTTGAGTTTCGTTCCTCGCGTCGTTTTGTTATTTTTTTTTCGTCAGTTTGACACTTTTTTTCTCAGCGGTGCGAGAGAATGGAAAGGGCCTATCTCTCGTGATTGGCGCGCGATATGATGTCTTGATTGCGATCTGCGATGTTTCCGAGAGAGAGAGAGAGAGAGAGAGAGAGAGAGAGAGAGAGAGAGAGAGAGCGACTTCATTTTCTATTACAAGCGCGGCGGCTAATTAACGGAATGATATGCGGAAAAAAGTTTATGCCCGTGCGTGCGCGCGGCATTAAAGCTCTGAATAATTCAGCAAGCTCTCGGGAGAGCGCGCATACGTTGTTCTCACATTAGAAGGCTCGCGCGCGGCAACGTCACGAGATCGTAGGCCGCGACGCGATGCGCGCTCGCGCATCTGCCCTGGGTTTTTGTAAAAATCGGCCGGGACAAATTCGCTGCAGCACGCGATCGGCAAATTAACCGCTAATTAACAAAACTCTTTCCTCCGTTGCTGCCACGGCCTTATGGCGTTTCTCGCATTTCCGATGAAATTTCAGGCAGGTGTGTGGGCATACGCTCTGCGAGCCCGTTTAGCACGTTATACAAACTGCCCTCTTACAAGGATGCGATTTAATCGTGCATAATTTAGTGGACAACGGGCCAGCGGCGCGCTACCTCAACTTTTATGGCTGTTGTTCGCGCGCGCGAGCGCGAGCTTCGGGTTTTAACGTTTCGTGTTGTTGTAACTCACCGGTCAAAGTCCGTCAGGCGCGATGAGTCTCTGAAGCCTTTGGCGAACGGATTGCTGTCGATTTTCAGCTTCGTTATCTGAAACGTCATTTGTACACATCGCATATTTTAATGCTTCATTTTTCTTGCTGTTTTACGTGTTCACAGTTAGTTTAATGGATTCCGATGCAAGAAAGAGAAACGGAGCGGGGGAAGAGATCGAGAATAAACATACACCGCGCGAAGTGTTAACTCGTTGAGATATTCGGTTATAGCTATATATCTTGATTTTTCCGCTCTCGCGAGGCGACCTCGCATTAAAATCATCGGATATATATTTTATTAAGTAAATTGCATTCGCGTGCTAATTCATTGGGTTTCATTTATTTCTCGGCAAAATTGGCTAATAAAGTAGCACGAAGGTAATACTGACCAGTTGATTTTGGTAAGCGGTGACTGCAGTGAAGATAGCCTCAGGGAAGATGAAGGTCTTGTGCTCCTCCTTCTCGAGATCGGTAATTTGCGCGCTTCCGCCGCTTCGCAGCCGCACTAAGTGTATCCTCGGCTGGTATCGGTGCATCGAGTTGAGGATTATCTGCAAAAAACGAAAAAAAAGGCGCCGAAGCGACAAGTCCGTTAGCGGAAATTCCAAACGTACGTACTTTTCTTTTTTTTCATGCCTTACGTGTTGATCGATTTACATTTGTTAATCGCGCTTCCGCCGCGCTCGCGTTATAAGGTTTTCCCCCGCGCAGAAGCGGGAAAAAACGAAGTGGAGGTAGAGGACGACTTTATCGCGTAAACGTCCAGCAACGTAGCGCGGACGTTGCGACGCGTGTCCCATTGGAATATTCAATCAATTTGTCGACGCGCGCGCGCGAGATAGAGAGATAGAGAGAGAGAGAGAGAGAGAGAGAAAGAGAGAGAGCGAGAGAGAGCGAGAGAGAAAGATCGAGATCGGCGCGTGAAATCGTTTGACTCGCGCGCGCTCGGCGCTACGCACTGGAAAAGTCAACGTCCTGCCGGAGCGAGATGATCGAGGGACTGGAGTCAATTAGACGGGCACAGCGATAGGCGCGTGTGTCTCCTTAGCGCGCGCGCGGCATTAAAATTTTATACCGCTGCACGTTGCGCACCGCGCATACGTACGCAGTTGAGCCGCGCTCGCCGCGTGCGCTTTCCTCTCCTTCACCATTACCCGCTCGCGCGAAGGACACGAAGCATTACACTTATCTTCGGCGCGTAATGACCAGTTACACACTCGCACACGGACGGACGAAAGTCCTTCATTATACCGACTGGCGGCAAAACGAACACGCCTGCAACGAATACGCGCACGTTCTCGCTTTCCCAAGCCAAAACGAAAATGCGAAAATGCGCGCCGGGGCGATAATTAGAGAAACAGCGAAGGACAGCCGACAGAAGTGAAAAATAACGAGCGGCGCGCTCGACAGCTCTCCGTGCGCGTGTCAAGTCGCGCGCGCACGCGCGACGCTGTTTCATCGCTTTTTTCGCGCTCGTGCCTATACATCGCCAGATATTAATAAGCTCGTTTTAATGAGGTGTGACGTCAGGATAACGAGCGCGCCGAACTACGCGCGTATATATAAAGCCCCATGCCACGCGAATCTACATAATAAAGTTTCCAACTTTATGTCAAATCGACGCCTATTTCGGTCGCGCCGGCGTGCGAGCAGCGGCAACGCGATAAATAAAAAAGGCTATGTGCCAGGTGTGTCTCTGTGTGCGTCGGCTACACTTCGATCTTGATAAACCTGTCAGGCATCTCTCGCGAGATAACTCACTCGTGCATATACGCGCGATTTGCATTTCTTTTTCCTTCACTTTATTTTCCCTTTTTGCTTATTATTATTATTTTTTATTCTTTCCCGAAGGATCGCATCTGCGCGCCCTATGACTCCTCCGAGATTTTTCGTAGTATGGCGCGAGACGAAGAAAAAAGCAAAAATGCGCTCAATGCCGCTCGACGGCCAGCAAGAGCGCTCCGATTATCGAACGCATTTGCATGGTATTAACGATAATTCGCATGCGCTTAACGAGCGTTTACGTCGTGTTCGAGGATAAGATGCTTGACTGATGTTTTTTTAAGAGGTAATTTCACGCGATTTCTCGAAAAAAAACCATGCCGCCGCGCCGCTCTTACTAATAATCGAGGGAAAAACGCGTTCTAGATTTTTTTTTAGCCGTATCGGTTGTTTCGAAAATCGCGCGAGGGAGAGATAGAGAGAGAGAGAGAGAGAGAGAGAGAGAGAGAGAAAACTTGGCTAGAATTTATTATTTTCTGCTAAAGTACCTGTTGAAAGCTTATGTAACCGGCTATGGAGATGTATTATGACAGCTTGCGAAATTGTTTTTTCTTTGTTCAAAGGCATTGTTGGCTGCGCGCTGCGGCGATGAGCTATGGTTACAAGCTCATTGCGAGAGCTAGCAAACATATTGAAAAATCTATAAAAAGCTCAAATATCGCACACAAGGTCTGTCGATCGACTTGTTCGACTATTTTTAAAATTCGTTTTCGAATGCCTCGTAAATATAATATGCAGTAAATTGCACGCATGAAAGAATAGGCGAGCTGATGAAATCCACAATGAAGTACAGCTCGAAAGGAACAATGATTATACAATGAAGCTGTTCGGCATTCGCTCTAACTGTATCGGCAGATTGCTGAGGCGCTCTCGCGGTCACGGACTTGTGGCCGCGATAAAAGCCGGCAGCGGCCGAGAGCCAACGAGCAAAAAAGATAAACTTGCTAATAGTCAGGTGTACGAGATTCAACACATATAGACTGACGGATCGAGCTCTCTCGATTTGCATGTGGCGATTTATCAAACAGCGCGCTAGCCATGTAATACACGTTGATAGCGGCACTTATGCATGCTCGCGGCTCTCTCTTTCTCTCTCTCATAATAGCGTTGGAATTTCGCGCGCGGAAAAAAGCAAATGAGCTAAGTGTAGCAGCGCTAGCTCGGACGCTAATTGAGCCAAGTGAGTATGGAAATCGAAGACTGGCAGAGCAGGGACCACACCACCGATAGCTGTGTATGTATACAAGCAGAGATCGCGATGATAGCTTGCAAATTTATGGCCATTGACGCATCAATGAATTCTTTCTCTCGCTGCAAACTGTTTGCCAACGAATTTATGTAGCGGCTCACAGTTACGTGGCGTGTCCGGCGACAAAAACCAATAATAAAGAGCCAATAATTCAGCGTATAAACGCGCGCCGATTATTTATCGACAGGTATAACCTTACGCCTGCCTGTTTGCTTGCAGCCTCGCGTCATCTGCATAATTTTCTAATATCGCACGACGCGTCTCTCTCTCTCTCTCTCCCTCTCTCTCTTCGTACGTGCGGATTAGCGACTGAGCCGTGAACGCAGAGAGAGAGAAAACCGAATAAATTCCATGGCTGCCTTTTCTTTTTCATTTTGTTTTGAAATCGCGCACAGCATTTAGTCGAAACTTCATCGGCGAAATTCGAGTTTTAGCAGCTCGTATAATAAAATATATCCCGATTAACGAGGCGCGTTGTATTTACGGGCTGCGTATACGTTAAATATTTATACGAAAAGAAGGAAACGAATACTTGTCCTCCGAACACTGGCACTCTATTTTAATCCTCTCCGAGAAATTTTGAAGAAGGAAGAGGAGAAAAAGAAGAGGCTCGGACACTTATCACTCGTCGCTGAAAGCGCCAAGTGCTTATAACACAATATAGGAGTGGCATGTATATACGCGCGCGCGCTAACGCTCCGACTCTTTTTCGAATTTCCGTTGCGTCGAGCGATGAGAGTGTCTAATAAAGATACCTTAACGACGTGGTGCCCGGAAATGGATGTCGAACAAATTTATGCCTACTCTGCCTCTCCCTCTCTCTCTCTCTCTCTCTCTCTCTCTCTCTCTTTCGTTTGCGACAATAATTTATTACGTTGACCTCCTCTTCTCTACGCCTCCTCTTACTTCTTTTTCGAAATTCGTTTGCGCTAATTATCATTACGTCAGGTCGGCACGTGCGCGCGTCGATCGATTTGGAATCGGTGCGCGGGAGAGCGTCGAGAGAACACAGCTCTGCGCTGAGAAAGTTAAAGATCCGCGGCGTAACGCGACGCGCGTAATGCGTTCGCGCGAGCGTGAAACGGAAGGAACCGGCGCTGCCTGCACGAAGAGCGTATTACGAAAGACCCGGTTCTGACTGCGCCAGCCGGGCGATGATATATCCTATTCTCGCACCTTGTTTTTTTACGCCTCGCGCCGCGTTGCTGCTTATAAATACACGACGATAATCGTAGCAGCGTTGGAGCGACGACGAACGCTCCGTTTCTCCTTTCCGCTTGTCGGAGGATGTGCGAGATTACTGCACCGCGCGGTCGGAGTGATTCGCCTCGGGGCAGTAGGCGCACGAAACAATTAAAACCGAAAGCTTACGGGGAGCGACAATCCTATCGCTTGGCGCGAAGGCGCCATCGAAATCTCACGTTACACGCGCTTACGATTTTTCCGATAATCGCGAAACCAGCGGAAAGCCGCGCGTTGCAATCATAAAAGTCGACAACACTGCACCGGCGAGAAAGAGGAAAGGAAGGGGCGAGCGAGATAAGCATCGGTGAAATTCCAGAGGACGCGTCAACGCGCCACGGGTGCACCAGAGGCACTTATAATTGATATCACGTCGGAGCGCGAGTATATACGCTCTCGACGTCGCACCTCTTTCAGGGACCACCGTAATCGCGCCTATAGGTAGCCGCGACGGGGGTCTCTTCATAATATCGCCTCTCCCGTACGAAACGATGAAATAGTGGCCAGCAGCCGCAGCACAAGCGTAGCGAGCCATAAGGAATGCCAAGTTCTCGTTCTCTCTTCGCGCTAACCGGAACTCCCCACTCTTTCACGCCTTGGCTCTCTCGCCTCTTCGACGATTTTTCGAGGATACCATTTTTGTCTTTTTTTTCGGGAAAAATTACGGCTCATCACTTAATGGCTATTCGCTGTTTTTGCCTATACGTCGATTTTTATAAGCCGATTATATATCGCGTTTCAACGCTCCTCCTACAGCCTTATGCGCCTATCGTTTTTCTCTTCCTTCTTTTCGCGTAAATTAGTTTTGTAATAACGGTTGTTTTTTTCCCACCGAAATATGGTCTTTTGCGGAAATCCGCGTGCAATCGTTCCCGGAATGTCTGCGTGTGCACGATCGATGTCTAGGCCTACGTTCCAAAGCAGAGGGCTCCCCTTCAAATTGTCCATCAATAGCCAATTTGTTCTTTCATTCGTCGTTGGCCTTTTTATTGAAAACGATTCATTTTTTTTAACCCGTCTACTCTCGCGCATGTATAAATCAGGTACTCGTCTGAAAGTCGATCGATGTTTTGTGATCGCCTATATTTTCTGAAATGTTCTTCGAAACTTACGAGATACGGCAAACAATCGCTAATTTTGACTTTCGTTTCTAGTGTTTAAAATTTCAATAGGCACACATCCTGGAATTTGTCAGTGACTAGAAACGATTTTACGAGCACACCTACACGTTGAACAGAAAAAGCTAGGTCCCCCTCTCTTTCGCTCTCTCTATCTCTCTCTGTCTGTCTGTCTGTCTCTGGAGCGTTATCGCGCCTCACGTCTACAAACATGAATACACGTATGCGTAATACGGTTGCGTCCCCCCCCCCGCCCGCCTCACCCTCGCTTCATCGATTTCACACACGTGTTCAAAGGAGACGTGCCAATAGTAGAAAAATGAGCTCTGATATTTATACACAAAAAAAAACCTATATGCGTAGCAAGCGGTATGCAGCTACAATGACAACCCGTGGCGTGTTGCTTGGCCACGCGGTCATCATGACAAAGGGCACATACATACTGCCACCGCTCTAGTATAAAGTCGTAAAAGGTATCAGGGGGCGTGTGTACGTCGTTAAATTATTACTGGAAACTTCCGGAATAAAGAAAAAATCGTTTTATCATCGAAATAATCTCCGCTAGGCCCATATTTACACAACGAACAGACCTAAATCTATGCTTCGGCGCTTTGTTTTAGATGGATGTTTGACCTCGGTGGCGCGCGTGAAAAATCGCGATTGACTCGGTCAGCGTGTGTTTGGCCTTCGGTACGCGTGCCGATCGCCCGCGGCGCGAGCGAGCGAGAATCTTTCTCGGCGAGCAGCCTTGGATCCGCGCCACCTATAGTGATTTTTCGCTAATTAAGCAGCAATCCTGCCGTCGGATACTTTTTTGCCGTGGCGCGTGCCGCCGACGACTTGCCCTTAAGCCCTTGTCACCCAGTGCCGCTCATGGGTACAAGGTTAACGACTCGCGACTGTACTCGCAAGGGGGTTGCAGAGTCAAAGATCTCGGCGATCTGCCGACGCGGCAGACGCGCCGACGGCACGGAAAGTCGTACGACATCCTGCCGACTTTGGCTGGTGTCTTGTTCAACTCCCACGGAGGCTGCGATCGTTTGTACGAGTACAAAGGTCGAGCGCGCGCGTGGCACTGCATTGTGACTAATAACGATCCGTTGCCAATCGAGACGTTTGTACTCTACTACGGACGACGACAACAAGAAGACAAGTCCATTGTCGGGCCGCCGTGTAGCGTCTTTGAAGACGCAAAGCTCAACGTTACGAGCGATGCGTCCGCCGGGGAGAAACGGCTGTACATCGGCCGAGAGATATAGAAACGAAAGGAAAAACGGTAATACCGCGGCGCGCCGGCCGGGTGCCTGACTCAGCAACATTGGAAATGCCTTAAGTGCTCGAGTGTATAGATCTCAGTCCAATCTCGCGCGAGCATAACAGGTGGCACCCAACGCATCTTTCGGTGCCCGTGGCCCATCAGCTAATACCAAATTTTTAAGCCAAGCCCGCAACAACCGATCAGCGTATCTAGGATCTAGCGAAGAAGCATCACCTACCTGTCCCTGCTTGTCCATCTCATTGTTCGTCAGTTTAACCTTCTCGAACGAAACGACCTGCTTCCTCAGTTGTTCGCCCTTGAACGGCGAGTCGGGATGGACGTATAACCTGGCCGGTGCTGGCGGATCCGCCTTGCCAGCGACCAGCCACGAACTCTTGTGATAAGCGTAACGATAGCGTTTGTTGTCCACTGGCACGATGTCCATCAGAACTGCGTACTCGTGATCGCTCTTCAGTCCACTGAATGACACTCGGCACGTCGGGAACATCCGTCTGTTTTTGTCAAACAAAAAAACACGTTGCCCAAGTTATTCGCGCGTAAAGGCTGACGTTGCCACCTGTGCCTGCATTCAAGTCGGATAAATTCCTAGTGCTTTTTAGGGTTCGACCAGCCATGAGCAGTTAATTTCGCGCCCGATTCCGCATTATGTTAAATTATTTGACAAGTAATAGAGGCGTCGCGCGCGCCGGCGCCTCTCGCACAAGGGGAGCTCGGGTTAACGTAAGGCGTGCTTGTTTGTTTCGCAGACACTGGTTCGGAGGTTATCGCGACGACGGCAGACGACGATGCAGCAGGGCCGGCCGTGCGACGGCTTGCCGCGCCTGTGCCCCGGCAAGTGCAACCCTCGCAACCGTCGGGCGCAGCGCCAGCAAGCCGCAGTCCGTCCGAGGGCCGAAATCGTACCGGAATATCACGAGCAAAATATCGTCAGTCACAACGTCTACTACAACCACGACTTCGCCCTGTTCTCGCGGAAAACCCAGACGGACTGTCGCGAGCTCGCGCGACCGCCCAGTCCGATTCTCACGGACGAGGAGCGGCAGATCGTCGAGGCGATCACGCGGAGAGTGCAGTCGCGCAGACGTCGTCGCAACCGCGACAAGGGTTGCCTATTGCGCAAACTCGTGGCTTTGCTGATATTCTTCTTCGCTCACGGCTGCGTGGCCGCGCTGGCCAAGGACTACCATCACTACCAGACCTTTCTCGCCACGCAACTCTGCGGATTCATCGCCGTGCTGTTCTGGGATGAGCCCGCGTGAGCGAGCTCTGCGCCTGAGTGTGTGCGTTTTCGGGTCACGTGTCGTTATGTTTGCAACGTTGACGCAATCGCGCTGTATCGATACAAAACAAAAAAGAAAAAGAAAAAGAAAAAGAAAGGAGAGCCTCAATCGCGCGAGCGCTGTGCGTCGTTCAGTGCTTCGCCGACGAAAAATCTTCCACGCGACGGCGTACTTAGCTTATCGGGCGTCAATTTTCAGCGGGTTCATCAATCAGACGCTGGCGCGCACGAAAAACAGTACGTACCGGGAGCTCGCTTCGGCCCGGCTGTGTTTGCTCGCAGCTTAACGACTCGTCAAGCTAAGTATACATCGCCGAGAGCCAGGTGCGTTTGTGTCACTGCCGTAACTATGCCGGCGCGCCGGCGCGTAATTGCCTTAGCTCGAGCCACGCATGCAAGCCGCTTGCGCGTGGAGCAAACGTGCTCCGCGTTGGGCTCGAGCGCGACAGCCTCGGCAGCCGCGCCGCGACGCCCGCGAGTAGCGATAGCCGGCCAAAAGTGAGGCTGCAATCGTGGGAAAGAGAGAAGGGCGCCGCGGTGCCGAGGAACCAGAGACGAGCGGCGGGCCCCCCGTCGACCGGCGACGACAACACACCGGCTCATTGGCTTTCGCCGAGCGCCCGTACGGTAGTGCGCTGGCGCTGGGGTGCCGCGAGGAGTCGCGAGGGCCCGGAAAACATTCGCCTCGGCGGCTCGCGAAGCGCGAGGCCGAGCGCGGCTCTGACGGGGGGCGCGGGCGCGCATCAGCACGGGCTATAAATCGAGGGCGTCGCGTGGGCGTGTCGACGTTCGCGCGCCTATCGCTCACCTGCCGGACTTGGTGATGATCATCTCGGTGTGCAAGTCATTGAATTTATCCCACAGCTCCTTGGTCTCCAGGTGGCACTCCACGTCTCTCAGCTCCTCCGAATTGCACAGAGGTGGCGGAGGTGGTCCGCGTCGCTTTTTCTTCGGCTGCTCGTCGGCGCTCTGATCGAATCGCCTCCTCTTGAGGCGATTGACAGGCGGCTCGCCGTTGTCGGAACTGACGCTCACCGGATTCTCGTCCACGCTGCTGCACTCCTCCACGTCGACGTCGACTTCTTCGTCGTCGTCGATCGACTTGTCGGTCGCTACACTCTCCACGTCGATGCCTGCGCCAGGCTCGCTCTCGTTGTCCTCGATGTCCGTCACCACTGTCGCTGTCGCCACGATGTTCAACGGCGACGTGCGCAATCCTGCCAATAAACAAGCGCCGACAAATGAGGCCGATTCTTCGACGACAGTATCTTACGTAACGCTCCACTTATAAATTGATTAATATAACGCTTACATCTACCTTGCAGGCGCGAGTTGTTCTTATTTTTTTCCCTCGCATTGCACGAGCTACTCATGTTGCTTCTATACCAGCGTCAGACAAATAATTAGCTCCGTGCATAATTCATCGTCGGCGTGTGTGCGCGTGTGCGCGTGTGCGCGCGCGCGCTAATGGTATCGGCTCTTTATACAATGATAATTGCCTTTGCGCGGCGCGCGTGCGTCCAATATACATGCATACAGACGTAACGTACACAAATGGAGTGTTGATTGTTTGTTATCGCGCAACTTAGAACCTGTCGAGCGGCAATTAATCACGGTTGAATTGGAGACGCGCCGAGCCGACGCTAGCAATGAAGAGTGAAAATTTTTTTTCATTGGTCTAATGGAAAAATCGATGGAAAAAGTTCTGGAGCGGACGGCAGTGCCGCCGTTCGTAAATATGAACCGGGGGAGAGAAAGCGGCCGAGCGCAGCGTTATGCGACTGCGGCAGGGCATCCAATTTTGATAACGATCGCTGCTGGCAATTAGCGCTAAACATACGCTAAACATAGCGCGAGCGCGGAATTTGTCTCGGTTTAATTAGAACTACGTCGCGAAATTGAGAGAGAAAGAGAGATCGATTAATTAATCAGCAGTGTTGTAACTTTGTGAGATGAGATTTGTCATCGGCGCTATATTGCATTTTATTGTCTGCGCTGCAATGCGGAATTCTTAATGTTATGTTGTGACGAGGAAAACGTCCCTGGCGTCGTTGAAATATTGAAGAATATGCCAGTTACGCGCTAATAATTGAACGCGGTGGCGTCTAGACGCGCGCGATTCTCCTCGAGCGCGAGTGAACGTGCTGATTCAACATAAATACGTATGTGCGATGGGAAAATTATTTCAAGCCGCGCTGCGGCTGAACAATCGGCTATATTATCCCGTAGCGCCTCTGTACGTTTTAATGTCTTATGACGATCGCAGCATCGTCTATAATTGACTGATTGCATCTTTGCTTGGAACTACTACCTATTCGCATAGTCTGTACTTTCGAAATCGTTGAATTAACGGTTAGTCGATATTTCGTCGTATTTTGATGGCCGTGACGAAAACCGGAAAAGTCTAGGTAGCTTATAGTACATTGCGCGACGTCATCTTAACGGTGGCAGCAACAACAGCCGGGCGCCCTCGCACCGATAAACATACGTTGCAACGCAAATAAAGCTGTATTTTTTGTCTCCGCGTACTGTACATACAATGTCGCGCGACGACTTATCGATCGGCAGCGATTTATCTCGCGACACCTCGCGCGCGTAACGCGATACGCGTGTGCTGCGCAGGCTATCGTCCGCGCGGAACGCCTGCACCTCTCGTCTCCGTTTTATTTTTTTTTTTGTTTTTCGTTCACCGCGTCGATTCTCAGCCCCGATCTTTTCTCACTCTCGCGCGAGCCTATCAGCGGAAAAAGGAATTATCGTTGTAATTGTTGCGTTTGAAATGCGGCAATAAAAGACACGACGATCAAAGGAGAGCGAGAGAGATAAAAGGGGGGAAGTTGGCCGCGTTGAGGTGTGATTACAGAGCGCGCAGTGCATAAATTGAAGAGCGCAAACTGTATAGGTATGCAAGCATATCGCAATTATACCGGCGCTGCTGTGCTGCTGTGCGGCATTGTGCGCCTATGCGCTCTTAATAATCCGCGCGCAAGTATTACTTATAAAAATGTACGTAGCTGCTACTTCTCAATTAAAGCCGCTAGACCTCGCGCTCTCGCACCTGCGTTTTATACACTTTTTAGCGCCAAGATTAATTTCGCCATCTGTCTCTTGCGAAGCGGTAGCCTCGCACATTGTAACCAATTTGTATTATCTCCTTCGCGGGAGTGGCGGCGGCAAGACGCCTCGTCGAGTATATCCTGCGCGAGAAGGAAAATCGGGAGAGCGATTGATCGCCCGTATTAATAACCGAGGAACGCTGCGATCTGTACAATCACGAGAGGGCGAGAGGAAAAAAAGGAATCCGACCTCGGCAATAATATTTCAATTTGCCGTATGGTGTGGTATGCGAGTGCGAGCGCGTGCTTTCGTTCTGCTCCTTGCGTTTGTTTTTGCGAGGCGACCTGCATAAATTGATACGTGCCTCGTGTACGATGAAAGTTTTAGAAGTAGATTGGCAATCAATGAGCTGGATATAAAGGAAAAATAACGAACGTGCCGATCCGCAGCCGATTGGCCGGAAGCTCAGCGAAGCACGTTTTTGGTGCGGGAGCGTCACGCGTATAATGCCCGCGCGAGTTAATTATAGAATGTCGACGGAGAGCAGTAGCAGCAATAGCGACCGCGCCGAGCGAATGAAGCTATTTGCGCGATTTCGAATTATTCTTTCTGCCGAAGCAGGCGCGTTGGGCATTCCAATGCGAAATTACATTCTCGGAACGTCGTTTTTCGGGGTGGATTTCAAAATAGCTCTCGATATCGCTCGATGCGAGGTGCTACGGGAAGCCTGCAAATAAGACTCGATTAACCCGGCATCGCGCGAAGAACGCCTGCTCGCGAGCGACCGTACGGAACCTTCGCCCAGATGCATGCGCAACGGTTTGGCACGAAGGTGCAGATGCACCCGTCGATATAATGCTCGCGCATCTGCGAGAAAAAGGCGCGTCGGCTGCTAATAATACCGCTCGCAGTGGTGCGTGCGCGCGCGCGCGAAAAAGAGCTCGCGCTCTCTAATCGAGTCGCTCGGTGCGCACCACCTTTCGATCGACGATGAAAGTCCCGCGTTGCCCGGTTATTTTCGCGCGCGCGCGAGGGACCGAGGAAAGAGATGCGCTCTAATGGACGTCGTTTATTGATTGAGAGCTCCGCGCGTTCTTCTGTGTTTATTGTCTCCGCTTAACGGTTGGTCGACTCGAGGAAAACAAAAGAAAAAAGATACATCGGACAGCGAGAAATGGAGAAAAAACTGCGGCGTTGTGTGGTCCAAAGAGCCTCGAAGAGAAAACATAAGGACCTCCTTCCACGATGGCGCTGCCGTTAAACAGCACAGGTAAATCGCGGTGGCGGCGCCAGACGAACCGAGCGCGCGCACGAAAGAGAGAGAAAGAGAGAGAATCAATAAAACGTTACACAGCCGATTATCTGTCGTAAGCCGGTAATGGCTTCATTCCTGCTGCCGCTGCAGCTACGGCAATATTGCCCCATTGTTTCCGGGCGATAAAGCTTTTCAGCGGCTCCGGCCAGTTTTTGCCTCTTCGCATCCTTCTATGTAAATAGCTGGGAGCTGTTGCTTTATTTACGATCGCGCGCGCTGCCGCAACTCGCCTCCGGAAAGTGCACCGCCGCTCGAAAGTCCGCCAATTAAAAGCAGCGGCGCGATCGCCGTCGTGTAAGGGTGGTCCCGCGCGCCGCGTTCCTCACATGCGAGTCGTCGTCGCAGCACGCTCTCGTTTCCGATTCGACAAGAAATACGAGCTGCGAGTGAGAGAGAGAGAGAGAGAGTGAGTGAGCGACCACCCAGAATATCCTGTCACCAGCGGGAGGACCGACTGTCGCCGGGACCTGCAATTTGTTACCCACAGGTTCCGTTCTTTTCTCTCTGTCTCGTCTTCATGTCTCGATCTCCACACACACGCGCGCGCGCATTGTGTAATGTTGCCCCCGGCTATTTTGACAGTTCGCTGGAAAAAGTTGTCCAACCTGAGGCTCTTGTTCTCCTCGTCTATTGGGGGCTTTTTCTTGGTACGAAACTCGGGATGCATATTGTTTTGACCGTGCGCTTTGCATCGCTTCGCTATACAACCGAGTGTGAGGGGGCGTACGCCTGTGCTTACACGCTTTGGCCCTTTGTCACTTGATTTTTACCTTCTTTTTGTCGTCGCGTTGGATACGCTCAATTTCGATCTAGAATTACGAGCGACTCTCCAGTGGTCAATTCCGTTTGACTCCCCAGTCATCGAGGTATTGCTCTTGGAACGATGGACTCAGCGCGGATCGTTCAACGATTAACACTCCAAACGTACGAGGTCTCGCTAAAACCATCGTTATTATTGGTGCAACAGTACGATAACCGTTTACACTCAAACTGGGTGTTGCATCTCTCTCGCGCGCGCACAATATGGCTAACCGTTATGCCGTCGGCTAAATCCAAGCGCTACGCGGCTGCTGTCATGACGATATGATTTCGCACCGAAGCCCGTAAATTATTGCTGTTTACAACTCTAACCAGACATAGCGAAGTTTTCATGAATTATGGTATGTTTATTGCACATCCTTCTGAATACTGGAAATCGTTAATTCTACTCCTTGCAAAAGGTTCTATGGATAATTGGCTATCAAAAGATTTAACTGCGCTTTAGAGAATCACTTTGGAGAATGATAATTTAATTGACGCGAAGAGTGAATTGAAAAACATGGAAAACCGCGGGGTAGGGGTACGAAGCATTTGAAAATGATTATTTAGATGAACGTTTACGATCCAGTCTAGTAGGTTCGCCCGGCAGCAAACGGTTCGACTAGCTGATCATCAACGCATGAATGAGCAGCTACCGAATGATCAAGTCGATTAGATAAATTGTCACTGGAGAGAAGAGCGCTAGATAGTCAAACAATCCCACACAATGTAACAACTGAGTAAATTCCAAGTGGCATTCAAACTCGCGTCACTGTCTGGCAACTCCGCTTCTCGCCCAGAATCGCACAAATATCTCACTGGAATTTCCCGAAGGCAGCAAACTTGGCCCAAAAATGTGAGCAGCACAATACGATCGGGGCGCAATTCTTCGCGATGAAAAGCCAGGCGCATTGTGGTGCCGTGGGTTCCGGGTCCCGGGAGAGAAGCGGAAGAAGTCCCGGGAGGGAATAAAAAGTGGCGATCTCGGCAAGCTTCGCGACAACGTACACGTAGAGAGAATAGGAGACTCACGGTGGTCAAGGTGCGTGGGACTACCGGCGGCCGGTCCATAGGATCCTTTGCTAGCAGCACATTCCAGCGGCGTGCTAGCTGCGGTGGAGGCAGCATTGCTCGTGGCCGTGACCAAGTGATAAGAGCCAAAGGACGGATCCCTCGGCGCCATGATGGCCGCGATGCTGAAATCCGTGACCTTGTTGCCCCTTTCACCCTTGGTCGGCATTGCTACCGTGCTTCCTATCCTGCCTCGCGCGAGCCAAATGTTCTCGGCACACCACGCGCACTCTCCTCGTACTTTCGGCGACGATTCACGCCGAAAAGAGAATCGCGCTGCTGTTTCGTTTTCGCTGAGAGAAAAGCAGAAGCGGCGAGGAAAGGAGAGAGAGAGAGAGAAAGAGAGAGAGAAAGAAAGAGCGAGAGAGAAAGAGAAAACGCGTCTGCGCCGCGCGGCTTCCCGAACTCCACTGGGCCTCCTACTCCTCATCCTCCCACGAGAGCGGGGTAACTCCCTCTCTCCTCGACGAGCTGCGCGCGCAGCCGCCTCGAGGCGGGACACTGACGATTGGACGCGCAGCGCCAAGCTCCGCCCTTCCTTCTTCCCTCGACGCTGTTGGGGAAATGACGCTGAGCGGTGAGAGCGAGAGAAAGAGAGAGAGAGAGAGAGAGAGAGAGAGAAAAGATCGATCGACTAGTAGCGTGCGCGGAGAGAGGGACGACGATGTTGATACGGAGAGAGGCGGAGAGAGAGAGAGAAAAGGGGCCAACGAGCTGCGGGGATGGCTTGGGTAATGAGAGAGTGAATTGGAAATGACGAAAGATGTTTTTTTTTTTAGTTCTTTCGAGTGTACCAAAATTGCTACGCTGAATTACGGGCGAGAGTTTGATAAATGTGCATTATTATGCGCGAGCGTCGTTGAGAAATTATACGAAGTCGCTTTTTCAGGTCTCGGCCTCGGTTCCGACGGCCGCCGCTTTATATGCGTTTCTTTTATGCGCGCGTACGCCTTTTCATTTATTAACGTTCTGGAGGTCGCTGATGTATAGTTACGTTTAATAACTGATATCATGCGCAGAGCAATTATTCGTCGGCGAGGGACGCACGAGAAGCGTCGATACAAGACCGAAGAAAGCAGAAATCATTTGTGGCGGAAACGACAGTAGAAGCTGGTCGATTGAAAAGATAAAAGACATATATGTATATATATAGCTATGTCCATAAATACGTAAGGCCAATGGCGAGATCGAGCAGTGGCAGAGCACAAAGAGGGTGTGCGAGAGTGGCGTAGGGAGGGACGGGCGCGGTATAGGGGAGGTCTGCCCGCGCCGCTGCTAATAAAGGCCTATATAGCCGGAGAGAGGCTGGCTGGTGTAATCGGGTGGTTACGGATCTCGCTCCGGCTGACGGATACGTCTCGACACTTCGACGGGGGAATGTGACGCGCCAGCGGCAGCGAGTTGGCGCGAGGGTTACGGTAGCTCGAGGTAGGGAGACGCCAGATAGATTGAACCTTGTCTCTGCCTTTTTTTTCACGCTCGACTTACGGACGTGCCGCCAGAGTTTTCACGGGGCTGTTTTTTTCTTACTTCTTCTTTGTTCGTGCTTGTCGTTGGAGACATTTTTCCACTGCGAAACAAACCCATTTGAAAATCGGCTTACTGCGAGTATTTTCGTACAACGAATACAATGAAAAGTACATCATTGAATTGAGGCAGATTGTCGCGCTCGCGATTAACAGCATTATGAGAAATTTTATTTTCCGAGCTGAATAACTGATCTGCGTTTCACCGAGAAGGGAACACGTTTTTCTAATTTTATTACGGAACTTGGAATTTCTCTTTTCAAGTTACGTATCCGCGTAATTTAGTTACATAATGTGAATTTATGCAACGGATTATTAAGGGATCCGCAGGGTTTACAACCGTTGAAAATTTAGGACGTTTAGACATAGAAACATCTGTTTACCGAATTGGCTTTTTTCATTGATTTCAACAAACATACAGAATATAGCTTGACGTATATATCTATTTGTTTATTTATTGAACGTATACACGAGTATAAAATCCTTTTCACTAAAGAAGTTATGTATGAATAATTATCACCGCAAAACACGTGTCAACTTGGAAATCAGACGTACATGTTACGTACGTGCAAGAATATGCCAGAAATAAATGTTGGCACAACTTATCAGACAACAGACTTATTATTCAAATCCAAGTGAAACATAGTAAACGTAATAATTATTAGACGAAAAAGAATGATTGAGTACAAAGGGCTGAAAACGTCTTACAATCACTTAGGCAACAAGGCGTTCAAAATCTAGTCAGCTCAATTGAGCGCGAGGGATCATTTGTCAGAGCTCCACAGTAGGGTTTTGGCAATGACTCGGCGTAAAACTGAGACTCCCGAAGTAGATTACCGTGTCACAAAGTCGAGGCGAACCGAGAGAGACAAGAGGCCTAATTGGATTTGGCCAAAGAGAACTTTCTTTTCTCCACTGCAGGAGGCACTGCACGTTAAAATGGTCTGCCTCAAAAACCTAAATATTGCAATGCCGCAGCGCCCGCAAGGCACACAGCAGCGTGAATAATCCGCCTTTCCGAAAAGACTCGGTGCCCCTTTGAGCAGACCGGCCCGTTTGGGTCAGCAGCGCGTTCCCCCTGCTGCCGCTGATGTCCTCTCGCCGTCTGTGCTACTCCGCCGATTCACCAGCAGGGATCATCGACTGTCGGCCCGAATGATTTCGCCGCGCCGGAAAATCATTGGCCGCGGTCGATTTCGTAAGATCGTCGTCACCGTCGCTGCTACGACCACGATATCGCGAACTCCTCGTTTCGGCCGACGAGGAGAGCTCCGCATCCGCTGGCATCAAGGTTGGAAGTGTTAAAAAATTCACAGCGGGCGACATTCCTCGTAGAATGTGTGGTTCTGACTCATCTCGGCTTTGGTAATTTATTCAGCGTCGCCTTTGTGCGCGCGTCTACGTACTGGCGCGGCGACGACCATCCCGAAAATGGTTGGCTTCTCGCGCGCGGCCACATCATTTTATTATGACTCTATTTGCTGCGCGCGGCTCCCGATCGATGCCACCCGCGCTCTTTTATTCTCCCGAATCCTCCCAAATACAGCCTGGCTATAAAGTATTTTACTCTCGAACGCACGATTAGCCTTTCCAGTAACTTCGGCTTTCCTCGTCTCAGGATCGTCTTAAGCATGTGCCTATGCATATATTCGTTTTTTAACATTTACAATGCACATGTATGCATAATTTTTCCGCGATAGAAGAAAACAATAGGTTTCACGTAAGAAGAGCTAAAATAGTAAGCTCGCGGGTGACGATGTATTTCAATGTCCTAAAGGCCAAAGCCGCACTATATCTACGAACGACTAAACCTGCGATTATCGCTAAGTGACATCAAATTGTCCGGGAGCCACCCATGCAATATAAGGACCGTTAGTAAGTGTATATATCTCGATCGATCAAATAACAACGAGAACGACGCGACCCTCGTTGTTGCCGAGATTTACGTCGGGCCGCGTGTACGGCGGCAGCAGCAGCAGCAGCAGCTTTGCTTTTATTATACTAATTTCTCTCCCGACCGCATCACTTGACTTTCTTTTCTCGGAGGTTCCTATGGTTGGAACCTATAAAACATTTTCTCTCTCATTCTTTCCCCATCGTTTTGCTAGATATATCTCAGGTATATATCTGTTGGCCAAAGTCGCGGTCGATGAACAAACCCTATGCGGCTGGTGATGCGGTTGACACCAGGGAGAGAGAGATGAGAATTACTTGTATAGTTGACTCGTTTTCGTTGATATACAGTGCTAAGGGGAGAAGGGCGTTTGGCTCTATGTATGTTTAGTGCGTATATGGACACTATGTGTTTTGCTCCAAATTTTTTTTTCGCGCGAACAGTTTGATTGATGTGTGTCTGGTTCTTTTTTTTGTTATTGTTGGTTTTGCGCAGTTTTGAATGAAGGGAACGTGAGGTGGCAACAAAAACCATAAATTTTTTATTTATTTCAAATGAACTGTTTTCACGATAGTGTAGTACAGTTTTTTGTGATGGTTGATACGTTTAAACAAAAAAGTCTTATTCCATCTAAAAAAATGTATCACAGAAATTATAGGATTAACCAGTTTTCCTTCAGACCATACGCATACAAAATAACATTTGTCTTTCAAATAATATATAATTCACACGTATCCATAAGAATATGAATTCAATAAGAATTGGGATATTATTTGCGCGGTTGCGCAAACATCATCACGAGAAAAAAAATGTGAATAATCGTGACAACTTCACTAACAATAAAAAAATTAGATGCGCCGAAAAGTATTCTCGTGGATTCCAAGTAATAGTGAAGGTATTATTCTACAAATAAGATGTTGAGCAAAATATTTTTAATAGAAAGTAATGTAAATTTCATATTTTTATAACATTCGCTGTAAGTTCCTGAAAAAAAATGGTCGCTATGTATGTTAAAAGAAAGCCTGTCACATAAAACCCTAAGTACCAAAACACTCTTTTTATTGAGTAACACAGCCTCCAAACACCTTTAAAAAATAATAAAGAGGCTAGTAGACAAAGAAATAAATCATTTTTTTCGACGCTACCCAGTCTGCAGAGAGCGAGAAGTTCAAGAATGCGTTATTTACGATATTTATGATATTTTTTTGTCAAAACGGTCACTATTGCGGCGAGGTTCCGGTTTAGAAAGTAGCGAGCTTTGGAAGATGAAATTTACGAATCTCCGACGAACCAAACGGAGAAGATATTTATGAGGGTTTTGATGGATGTTTGAGGGAAAATGTTACGTGAAAATGACTGTCTACTGGTAGTTGGAGCCATTGATACTTTTACGGTGTGCGATGCGGCCACAACGAGCAGCAGCTTCGCGCGGTTGTAAATATGGTACTGCTACCGAAATATGAAAAGCTCCGAGCGTGCTTCGCACAGCGAGAGCTTTATTACGAGTTTTCAAATGGTTTTATTGGGCAAGGATGCATGACGAATGATTGCCTTGACTTTTGTTCTTCGCGGGTTGCCGACTTTCGCGATTGTAAATCATTATTTACGATCTTGCTAATAGATTTTCGAGTAAATATCGTAAAATTTTCTTTATACTGTTTTATATGACGCCTGAAAAGCTGACCGGTAATTGTAAAATTATGCCGTTAACACTGCGGTTAAATAAATCAATTTTTCAGGAATACCGTTCGAACATTTAACTATCGATTATAACGTAAAATGTATCGTCGATTTTGTTGAAATCTGAGCATTTTCTGAATGCACAGCGAAACCAAATTCTCACATTTACTTCATTCAACTTTTGTTTCTCAATTAAAAATGGACAAATTGTTTAGAAAACTGTACTATGGAAACAAAACTCATTTATTTTATTTACTTCATAAACAGCTAATACGTTATCATTATTTATA